TATTTAAATAAGAAAGATGCCCCAAAACCCCAAAACCCCAAAACCCCAAAACCCCATTAAGAAATTAGACAAAATATTTATAAATTAAAAGTAATAAATAAAAATAAAGAAATGAATATGAGTTAAGGAAAAGTTTCTAACTGTAAGTTAAACCCACTAAAACCCAAGGATATCAATTTATATTTTCAAAAATAATATAATACGACAAAGACATTTACCAAATTAATTTAGAGGCCAGTATGTAGAACACTAGATAGAACTTTAATGCAAGCAAAGGCTTTGATGAGTTTTCAGCAGGTGGTCCATTATCTAAAAATGGAGCTCAAGGACAAAGCCCGTTCAATTAGACACACGGATCAATGGCCTAAACAACATAGCAAAATACTGCAAACATAAAGGGTAAACTCGGCTCACTTGATGTAAGCATATTATAACAAGTAATTGTTTTTTATTAGGAAATGATAAGATAACTTGCGGATGAACTGAATTACCATAAGAAGGAGGTGTAGGTGTTGAGATCTGAAAAAGAATCACTTGAGAGCGTTTTAACAATGAAGACTCAGGATGTTAGAAAGACTCTAACCAATGAGCTATTTAAGGTAGAAGAAGAGATGAAGAGGCATTATGCTCATTAAAAGGCTGAAAACGCAAGAATCTAGTAATAAGTAACAGCTCTCAAGGGAGAAAAGACCGCTCTCGATATGCAACTCCTGGAATTAGAAAGAAGAATGGCGGAGTTAGAGCTCCAAGTTGGTCACGATTAACATCACTGAGTTAATTATACAGAATGAAACAATTATATATCATCTAGAAGTAAACTTTTAATGTGGATGGTGATATCATAGATGTATGCTAATGCCATATGCTATATAAATTTAATTTAAGTTAAAAGTCTTTAAATTAATTCCAAATAGATCAATAATGTATTAAGATATGATATTTAAACGTTTTATTTATTCACCTTCGTATAATACTTCCATTGTAGTTCGGATTACTTATCATCTCTTCACGAATGACCTATGAGTATTCATGCTCATAAGACTCGTCTCCGTTACAGAGGGTATTAGTGCCACCGACCTCACCGGTCTGTCCGTAGTCTCTCCTATCTGCCTCAATTTAATGAATGTTACTTGAATTATTTAAAGGTCTTTGTCTCAAATTTTAAATATTGACATTTGGTCCATTCCATTCACTAGACAAGAGCTAATGAGTGGTTTCCTCTGGTCTTGATTGCCTATGTCTCCTATGCGGTGTAAATCCATCTTCTGATTAAGTATAGATTGGATCATCTCTATGAAGTGATTGCATTGCGCTAGGCTAGCCTCCTGTTTCCATTATTAGACTCAAGTTATTCCTATCAAGCATATTCTAAATTCTAGCATGTTCTCTTTTTCTTTCAAGGATTCTATTGAGAAAAGGTTTAATTCTTTATTGAATAACAGGTACCCAAACGATATAAGAAGAATCATATACTTTATCTTCAAATTTATCTACTTTGTCTTCTTGCCTCTTAGTATATTTAGTTCGAAGTTTGAAATTTTCCTCAACTATTTAAATCTTCTTATCGGCTGATATCTCTGGAATTTCTTCAATTATTTCATCGAACTCTAACTCCTTATTTTTTGCTTGAATAGTATATTATGAAACATCGATTTCCATTTTATCAATTTCTTCTATGACATAGCGATGCTAGAGATACCTTTTCTAGAGGCATGAGAGAATATCTTGGAAGTAATACATCGAGAAATTTTTATAACATGGTGCTTGTAAGGATGAAATAAAGAATCTCCTTCGTGAAAAATCTTTATGAATGACTACTGTTATAATATCAGTTTCTTCTTCTACATCATCAATTAGATCATTCATATCGTTAATTTTTATATAGCCCGTTCCGTTAGGATCATACTTTACCCAAACTTTTTTAAATGCTTCTATCTGCTTTTTATAAACTTCAAGGACTTCTTCATCGGTTGATGTTGAGAAACCTTGCAATATAACAGCAACGAATAAGTTTAAGAATATAATGGTCACTATAATTTGAAATGAAAGGAAGTATGCATAAGCGGCTCCAGTACCGCAGCCATTAGGATCTCCTCCATTCTATTGGATTGAATCATATGTTGGACTATCATCACAATCAAATACTACAGATTTTGTTCTCAAAGTGTCCTCCATAATATTATTCCAGCCTTCTCCGGTTTGTAATCGTATCAGAGTTAGAAAAGCCATTCCAAAGTTTTAGAAATTTGCATGATAGTTCAAACTGTCCTAAAGCTTTATTAATGCAAATGTCTGTACGCCAAGAATTGAGAAAATGAATAGCAGTAAAAACATGAGTGCACCGACGTTTGCAAGAGCTGGTATGGTCACAATGATAGTATTGAAAATAATTCTAAGAAATTTAGCCTTTTTAATCAATCTAAAAACTCTTCCTATTCTAAACGCTCTTGCTATTGTTGTTTATTTAGGTCCTACAGCCGCTGATGATAGCTGGCCAATAATCAAGGTCACATATGATATGATGACTATTACGAAATCAAATATATTCCAGCCTTGTTTGAAATAACCAAGACCATAAGCTATAATTTTAATAATTGCTTCTAAAGTAAATACTGCAGTGAAAAAGTAGTTGACAATCTCAAGATTTGCTGGTATCTCTTAAGGATTTTAAAACCATGTTAAAGCCATTAAGATAGTATTAATAATAATACATCCAATAATGAAGTAGTCAAATTTGGGAGAGTCAGCTATATTCTGACAAAATTTGGATACAATGTTGTCATGTCTCTTTTCTATTTTTGTTGGCTAAGCCTCGAATCCTAGTGATTAAATCAAAAGCCATTACTTCTGGTAGTTTTTCAAGACATCGTTTTGACTTAACTTCTCTTTTTCAACATAATAGGTGTTCACGACAATAGATACGAATAAATTCAAAAGGAATAAAGAACCGATAATCATAAATACCATAAAGAAAAATACCCAGCCCTCATTCATATTATATACCGGCTAGTGATCAATTTCAGTCGCATCAACGCCATTGTACATAATGTCTCCCCAACCTTCAGTTGACGAGAGGATAAATAGAGACATCATAGATACAGGCAAGTTATCAAAGTTAGTTATTGTATTAATCCAGTCACCTCCGACATTTAGGCAGTCCCATTTCGTTGTAATTTCTTTATCAATATCCAAAATTTGAGATATTTTATCTGTTACACAATGATAGAATGTACCTTTGAAAAAATTAGTCGCAAAAATGCCAAAAAGTATGTAAAATAGCAAAGAAATAACAAGTGCATTTATTATACTAGGAACAGCATTAATGAGTGATAAGACAGCCAATTTAAGACCTTCATTTCTAGATATCATTCTTAGGGGTCTAAGCACTCTTAGCATTCTGATAACTTTAATGAATTGTATATTCAAATCACTTAGCAATATTGAGATAATAGAGAATATCACAATGATAAAGTCCATAATATTCCATGATACTCTCAAATAACTTTCTGGTCCATTAATGACTAGACCAAATACAAATATCTTGAGCAGAGCTTCCATACAAAATATGGCTGTTATTACATAATCTATCTTTTCAAGAGTTTTAGATTGAAGTCCATTAGGGTCATCAAGTGGGTTATCTATAGCAAGCATAATTGTTGAAAGCAATATCATTGATAGAATGAAGGGATCAAAGAATCTGTGTGAGACAATACGGTGCATTGCTCTTCTGAAGGAGTTTTTTGGCGAAAATAAATAGAAGGATTTGCCTCTCATTATTATATCTGACTTATTCTTGATAGATTATGTCTTATTTGTTATATCCTCAAACAAATTTTTCTTCTTCTTTGATGATTTACCGCTTTTAGTCAGTAAATTTCTGTTAGTATTATAACCTACTTCTCCGTTATCTTGAAAAACATCTTCATTTTCATTTTCAGTTTAGTAGTTAGACTTTTCATTAGCACTGGGATCAATTGGTATTATGTTCTCATTTCCACCTATGGTGTGCATTTTTTTGAATTACTAAAATTATTTGCTCTGTCTAAGTGTATTGTTCAGACTCTCTTGCCTGCTTAATAGACCTTCGTTTTAAGAGTTTTAGTTTCTAAGACTTATTGAATTCCGTTGAGAAAGTCCTCCATCGAAATTTTTAAATAGATTAAAATCAGAAACTGATCTATCATTATTTCCTCTGGCACTTTCTTATAAACCCCTAATAGACTAGTTTCCATTCTCTATGTTAGGGATTGTGAACTGTACACTTAAACTATCAGGAACTTAACTAGTAGCATTTATTTGGTTTCTCTTGAAAATAGATCTTATTTTATCTCTTATGGAGTCTTTAAATCTTTGGATTCTAGTTGAGGTATTATTACTTACTGACAGATCTGTATTAATAGTTTGCTAGGTAGCTGCTCCATCATCTTCAAAATTTTGTAATAAAATAGCCAAAAACAAGTTCAAAAGAACATATTTTCCAAATACTTGTAAAGTAACAAAAAATAATGCTGCAATTCCCCCCTGAACATTATAAAAAGTATACATTATAGTATTCCAATTGTCGCCAATTAATACAATGAAAATAGTAACAAATCCATGAAGGAAGTTATCAAAGTTTTACCTTGGAGATTATCCGTTATCCAAATCTATGGATCCATCTTTTGCAAATTTTACTTTGTAGGAGAAGATTTCCATACCAAGTAAAGTATATGTGAAAAGAAAAAGGAACAATAGGACAGAAAAATTTCCAATATCTTTAAGACTCATCGCAATTTTCTAAAGCATTGTTTAGAAACTTTTAAGTTGTCTTGCTAGCTTGAATATTCTGAATAGTCTGACCGCTCTAAATCCAGAAATGGCTCCACCACTAGATATTGTGCTATCTACTGGGGAAATATCAATTAAATTTTCTGCTGTTGTGAGACAAGTAATAAAAGCATCAAATAGATTAAACTTGTCTTTTGAATAAAGCTTTGGTCCGAGACCTATTAACTTCACCATCATTTCTACAAAGAATAGCCATGTGAGAACTGTATTAATTTAGTTGTATTAATCGGAAACATTTTAATCTATAGGGTATCTGTCAAATGATAGAATGAGTGTATTCATTAGAATGAGCATTACAATTACAGTTGCAAATATTGGATTCATGGCAATTCTGAAAAATACATATTAGATCCTGTGACAAATAGATCTATTTTTTTTAGAGATTGTAGGTTCATCAGTTTCAGACATAAACATTGTGATTTGACTTTAATTTTTTGCGTTACTCTGATTAATTTTAGTCTCACCATTGATTATTATATCAGATTTTGGCACAATTTCATTGATTAGAGAAGCGTCTGAATTTTTGAATTAGTCCTCTTATTCCTTATATTTTTCACCCTCCATTACTCTAGTATTTACGTTAATAGGAGTTTACTATTATGAGATATTATTGGTTAGATTGTTGCTATTATCTTCCACTTTAAACTTTTTCTAATCTAAATCATAAAATGTGGTTCTCAATTTATTCTCATAGTTAGTAATGACTGGCAGAAAATTCTTCTCTGTCGTTTCATGGCCACTATACAAATTGATTTTTGGATCTTGATTATGAATTTCTTTTTCTCTTTCTCTCCTTAATTATGACTCTCTACTTTCGGGAGTTGCTCTTCGAAGTATATTTGGAGCATTGTCTCTAATGATTTTGGTTTTATGAACAAGATCTTTCTAATCACCTGATAAATCATGATATTTATTATCCTAGTCATTTAATCTATTTTATTTTTCTAATTCCTCTTTTTCTTTTCTCTGTTCATCTGCTTTTAGTTATAAATCCTTTTTTAATTGCTCCCTTTTTTTATCATCATCTTTTTGTTATTAATCTTTAGTCTAGCTGTAATTAGATATAATAACGACCAATATGATATTCATCAAGAAGAAAGAACTAAATAGACAATTATTAATGCTAATAAAATTTACCCTATAAAGACTAGAGCTATGAAATATATGGATGATAGCCAAGGTGTGCCAGAGTCCATAAGCTATAAAAAATATTAATAATTGAAATGACAGATTTATAAAAACCTTACCATATACATTAGATCTGACCATCCTTCTAAGGTAATTACTTAGAAAATTGTTAACATTCCAACACCTAGATTATCAAATGTTGTTATGCCGTAGTTTATGTAATCTGCTTAGGTGAGATTTTCATTATCGATTCCCATTCCAAAGTCCGCAGGGGAACCACAGTAACTTGTCGATGGACATTAATACCATCCATCTGAACCTGGATACGCACAAAGTCGATCTATTGATGTATCGACAGGCCAGTTACCAAAATCATCTGGTTTTGGTGTTAATCTGCATCTTTGATAAAATTATCCAGAAAATAGCTGAACTCCTAGAATTCCAAATATGATAAAGAGGAACATCAAGAACAAGAGTACATTTACGAGTTATCCGAGAGATTTAATAAGTGACGTAATTTGATTTTTCATACTTGGAATTGCATTGATTGATCTTAAGGGCCTTAAAACTCTTAAAGTACGGAGTCCACGCAGATTCGGAATTTCTGGCACTAACTCTATCCATCCTATTACAACCACAATAAAATCCAGCCAATTCCAACCATCACGCAAATATGAAAATCAATGAAAGATAAACCCATATGATATTATTTTCATGGCACATTCAGCTGTAAATATGCAAGTAAAAACTCTTCCTGCTACTTCAATCATTTAATTACGTTCAGTAACATCATTTCTATCTGAGAAGTCATATGTTGCAAGAAATAACGAATTCAAAAAGATTACAAAAATGATGAACCTGTCAAACCATCTATAAAAATTTAAGACTAACGTTTCAAATATTACTTCCACTCTGTAACATAGATAATAAAGTATCTAACCCGATTTCTTATATGCAATGCAAAGAGAGCTCTTTTATCCAGCTATAAGCAGATATGGATTAGATTAATTAGTTGCAATAACTTACGATTAATTCCTTGCCGTGGACCTTCAGTAATGCTTCTCCTTTGCCAACTGTCTTTTCCTAGCTAGTATCTTTATGCAACTCTTATTTAATTCTCTGATAATTCGTTAAAACTTCATTTTATTTACCTGAATATTTTGATTTTCTTGTGCATTTTTCTTAAGCTTTTATATAATGGACTATAACTTGCCGTCATGCTCGCCACCTTCTGCATGGCTATTCATAGACTCATCTGGGGGAACTATTACACTTCCTTGATGTGATTGTTAAATTGGAACTTGAAGAATATTTGTCTACAATCATTATACATCGTCTAGAATTTAATCTTCCGAGGCCATGAACATCAGACCAGAATCTATTTATTGATTTGGGTTTCGGCTAGTCGGAGGAAGATTTGTGTCTCTCTATATGCGTGATTCAAATGTTTTATCTTCTTCTTAAAGGTTCATATATAAATATTTTAAATATATTTGATTATTGGCTTCTTTATTTAATTTATTTTTTGAATATTGAAATTTAGATTAATTTTCTTCAAGGGGTTTTGGGGTTTTGGGG